TCCCATGAATATAACAATGAAGCATTAAAAATAAATAAACTCTACACTGTTAAAACGGTTTACACAAAAATATAAAACAGTAGAGCTGTTTTTTTTGTTTTTTTTTTTCATTTTCATACTTATCAGAAGTGTTCGTTTGGCAAAAAATTAGCATATTAGAATGATTTCTGAAGGATCATGTGACACTAAAGACTGGAATAATGATGCTGAAAAATTTGTGACAGATTGCTGTAGCGCCTCAGTTCAAGCAGCACACGTGAACCGATTGTCTTTTCATATTTAATTAAAGCACAAAATAAAAAGATGTTGTGCGTCTTTATACAACATTTTTCAAGTTTAAGTCCACCGAAGTTAATCTACTCTCCTGTCTGATTTGTTTGTCGGGCAAGATGGCGGTTTCGGCGTTATGATTGGTCAGATCACCTGTCAATCAAGCTCATTGTGAACGGTCAATTACATTTTAACATGTATTCACACAGAAAACATCTCATAACCTTGCACTTCTGTTATATGTGAAGAAATAAATCATCTTTTGTGTGAAATATGAACAGCAGCTATGCTAACTGGTGGCTAGACCTCTGTCCCTCTAGAGGGCTTTTCACACTTGAAATTGTTAACCCTGGGTCATTCTAAACACCAGATAAACGGAATCCTGGGTTATCTGTAATCACGCTTCACACTGCTCATACTATACCTGGGGTTAACTGTTGATCCTGGGTATTCATTAACAGACGTTTCACACTGTACATTCCTAAAAAAACGAGTGCTTTTTTAAAAATAAATACTTTTATTCAACAAGGACAATTTAAATTGATCAAAAGTGGCAGTAAAGACATTTATAATGTTACAAAAGATTTTATTTCAAATAAATGCTTAAACCCCGGGTTAACGTTCTTATTTGCATATTTGCGGTGTCACTGATTAGATGAACAGCAGGCAACCAGTTTACACATGGCGTTTCCCATATCTTGCCAGTTATTAAAAAAAAAATTTCACCGCGTAGCCATTTTAAGCCTCATGAGACGCACAAAGGCAAGAAAACAAAGACAAAACTCCTCATTACTCCAGTTCACACGCTTTCCGTTTTTTGAAATTTCGTACTTTTCTCTCACCGACTGCTGTTTACACGATGCGCGTTTCCTGTTACTGACGTGACGAGCCTCGCTGCTCAATTTCTGATTGGCTGTCTGTTGCCAAGCCAGCAGCAACAAGCAAACACCGCTCCGTTTCACACTGAACAAACTTAGCACCGCAATGCAGGGT